TATTCATTTTCCCTGATAGATGCTACCAGAGTTAATTTGGCACATCCTATTTTAGGCTGTAGCTGCAGTAGGAGTAGCAGCGGATCGGACGTGTATTCATTCCAACGGTAGCATTAATACATTGTTCAGCGAAGAGGACGTTCTCGGTTGTTGTGCTGTATGCGGTAACTGTTTCGGAGGAGATCCATTAAAGGCATTAGTTTACTGGGTTAACGAAGGACTTGTAACTGGTAACCGTTTGATTCTTGCTTATTATTTATATTAAGTTATGACTGATACTGATTCTTCACTGCGATAAGCAGTTAGCAACGAAAGGCAAGAACAAGTGTTTGTAGGCGGTCGGGATGGTTGTCGTCCTTACTCTGTGGATATAGAGTGTGGAGTTCCTTGTTCTCCAGCACAGTACCCTTTCAATGAATACAAGAGAAAATGCACTCGTCGTTGCCAGAGTATCTACTTCCAGAATAGTTACGAGGATGATAAGCGTTACGGTAAGCTACTGATAAGGTCTACGGTAACATAAAAGGAAGACTAGTTTAGAGCAGTAGAGAATAGAGATTTGCTGAAGTTCCAAGTCAAAAAGCTTTTGACGTTTAAAATTTTTAAGATTGTTTTCTGCTGCTCCGTAACGATTAACTGCCAATTCGTTTGCAAAAAAATATCTTTTTTTTTTTGCACCTGGATATTTCATTATATTTTAGCTTCAATTGCATACTCTATGTATCCAAGAACAATGAGTTTGGACAAAAAGGGGAGGAACCGCATCAAAGTACCTACTGTAATCGGACATTTTAATGATACAGAAGGTCCACTTTCAAACGAACAGGTAGAATTAAAGTGGTTATTATCAGCTGGACTTACCTCGCTTTGAAAATTTATCATGATATTCTTTGCCGGTTAGTATGAACCTTAAGATATCAGGTAATTGTACAAAAAATATTAGAGCTTTGCAGATAAGACAAATAATTATGAAGGAATTATATTTGTCAGGCCCAACAACTTTAGCGTTTCCAGTTACTGAAGAATTTTTGCATTATAGTTCAGGTTAGTTACTGTCCTTGAAAGGTGAATTTGATTCATTACATAAATATCAAACCCAAAATCGATCTACCGTTAGTGTCAACGGTGCGAGAAGTTTAGCAGCAAAATGCTGTTTCTTGTTTAACCTTACAATAGTTTTACTGTCATTCAGAGGCGATAAAAGGAAAATTTTAGGGATATTTTCACCATATCCCGTGGAAGATTTTGCCAAAAGGATTGTTTACTGGCATGTAGTAAAACTGATAGGATGGGGACAGTATAACAACGGTCAGCACTACTGGCTCGCTGTCAACAGTTTTGGACGCCATTGGGGTGACAGCGGTGAGTCTCCAAAAGCCTGTTTTTTATTCGCTGGTTTAATTCAATACCAAAATGATTTCAAGTAAGAAAATTTTGCAAGGTTTCAGGGGTGTTCAAGATTGATACCAGTATGGTCGAAGACTTCGGACTTGAGTACGAAACTGGTTTACCGTAAATAGGAAACTTAAAAACCAAATATTAATTATTTTTAACCGCCCGCCTGTTTGTCAAACTTTACGCAAACTAACAATAACAAACTGCATAATGAAGAACAGCTTCTGCACCTTCCAGGTAAGAGACAAAGAAACTCGAAAGATATCGTAGAGGTTATTCTATTTGTGTCAAACATTGACTGTTCTTTCCAAAACGTTGTTTTTTGTTTCGTTTTTTGTACATAATTCGTGCGAAATCTCATAGGTCTACTGAAAGTTGTAAACGCTGTGGTTTTCTCTTTTACCTTATCCTTCCTCGCTCTTTCTTGCAGCTTCTGAATTTCTTCATTTCCTTGACCTCCGACCCTTCACAGCTCATACAGTGCATGTCCTCATATCACGAGCTCAGGAGAATTTAAGTTAATCGTTGTATCAGAAACAAAAGAAAGAAATTGAGAAGTTACCTTGAAAATTGCGCGTAGAATTCTTTTTCTGTTCTTGAAATAGATTAATGACGAAAAAGGTCTTCGACTTGCTCTCTTCTAAAAGTTTATCTAGTCTTCCATGAATTTAATTTTTTTTTGCTTCCTCTTGGCTGTTACAAAAGAAAGGAACCGCAACTTGTTAAACAAGTGAATAAAACCCATTCACTCTCTGACTGTACCGTAACAAATCACCAAGAATGAGACAGCACTGCTTGAAAACAAGTCCACATTATCCATGACGCAGTGTGAGATGCCGACAAGCTAATCTTCTACAATGAGTAGTTTTCAGGTAATATTTCCAAAAAGCCGAGACAAGAATCCACGTTAACCCTGTAAAAATAACGTTTGTCTTTAACTAAAAGCCAGGTTCACGCCACATTTCAAAAGCCAGAGGTTAGGGAACTTTAGATGTTGATTTAACACAAGTAAGCAGCACTCAACAGAGAGAGCACAAAAGGCAACCATAAGCAGATTTCCCAAACCTACAATAATACAGGGTATAAAATCTATGCGCATTTTAGTGTTTGCACCAATAATTTACATCAAGCTTGAAACACTTCGTTTAGAAAATAAAAAATGCGCTGATTGCTGTATTAAAAGAACGTTTTCCACATGTAGCTTAGCTTAAATATTGTCACTGAAGTTTTCCAAGTATATCGCATTGTCTTTCGTGCCTCAAAACCCAGAAGACCTAACGAATCTCACTCCCACGTAAAAAAAAAAAAAGCTTTATCTGGTATTTCAAAGAGGGCACTTCTCGGGTCTAGTGGCGTAATGCAAGTGCTCTCCATTGAGAACTTTCCAACCATGCTTTTCAGCTCGTACCAGGGTGGATTGAAACGCCGCACACCAACCTTTTGAGACACTGACTTTTAAAGGAGTCTTCGACAGTGGCGACTAACTTAAAGGATTAACTTTAGCTTTTGCCAGTAACTAACCGAGAAGAATGGCTCATCTGACCTCTTAGCTAACTACTTCAGTACCTCGTAAAGGTATCAAAAAATTTGCGTTTCCCAGCCATATAATTTGGAAGTTAGTGGCCATGTTCAGTTGTTGACTGCACATTTTGCCACTAAACAGTTCTTAAAACAATTTACCCACCAACAAAAAAATGAAAGTGAGCGAGAAAAGTAGGTTATTGGAGCTGGAGAAATAACCAAGCTAAATTACTAGTCTGCAAAAAAGTACAGTTATAATAACAATGTCTCTAGTCTCTTCCCCACCAAAACGATTGGATAATAGAGATCTGATTCTCAGAATTTAGCAGCTATTTTTATCAGTCCTGACAGCAGAACCTGATACTGTGTGTTGTGGAGGGTTTCCAAAATCTTATCTGACTCCAAGCTACGACTACGAGTCGGTCACTAATGGGAGCAGCACTCCAACTGTAAGAAAAGTTACACACTACTAATGTTCTACTCCAAAAATCAAAAACAGTAAATTGAACAATTCAATAAAAGCTTGGAAAACTTAATCACAGGTATAAATAACGACTAATGTTACAACTTGCCAAAGTTGCTAACTACAATCCCAATCTTTTCTTCGCCATATTTTCAAAATTTCTTTGACGTAATAAACAATAAGACTGCGCATACGATAATAAATGATACTGCTTCTCAAGCCTTTATGGAATATGCCACTCTGCCGCTGCGTTATTGAAGCGGAGGCAAAAGGAGGGAAAAACAACACTGGTAAAAACAGAAAATACAACAGTTATGCAGCAACTAAAGTTTTCGATGTATCTGGTATGCGGTGGACAGCCAACCAAACGGCTATCAGAGTTAAAATCATTAACACTCCAACAACAATAAACGAATCTGCGGAAAGTAACAACGACGTCTTGAAAAGACTGCCAAACTTAACGCCAAACGGAACTGAGTTATTGCATAACGGTAATGATTCCATAGAAAACTTCGTTACTTTCATAATACGAACCTAAAAACTCAAAGACAGAAGCATCTAAAAAGCTATAACAAACAAACAACTATCAAAATCCCATCCCTTAGACGGCTTGATGCTTTATCTTCAGTAACCAGTCACACTTAATTCGAAGAACTTGCCAGTACAGTTCCTAATAAAAGCTCTAACACCCACTATTTAGTAAACAAAATTCTTCAAAAACGTTGGCTCGAATAACGCCACATGAATAAAATACCTTTATACGATTCCCCAGTAAACTATCGTCTTTAAAAGGCACTAATATTTGCTCGTAAGACTTGTTGTGACCAACGAGATTGATCCCATCAGAAGCACGTTCACAAACTAATACATCCTCAACCGACCCAATGCGGGACTCGTCATACCGACTGTACGAACGGAAATAAGCAGACATTACCGCAGTTCGTCTGCGTGCCTAAACTAGGAAAATAATAAAAACATCTTCCAACGATGACTTCCAATTTACTAGTAGAACAATAAAACCTATCATCCTACTTTAGCCAAGGGAACTAATGAAAACTTAACTAACACCAAATTTTTAAGAACCTTTTAAAATTACAAAGAGAGCTACCTCTACTGTGTCAATTTTCTTCAGTTTTGCAGCAGGAGTGCCGGGTCTGGGATAAAACTGATTTATAAATACTGAGGGAAATTTATATTTGCGCAACAAATCCATGCTTTCTTCGAAGTCTTCAACAGTTTCAGTCGGAAAAGCGCAAATAAAGTCAGTGGCAATATAAACTTCAGGCACACTAAATTGTTATTTGTTCGTAATAAAAGTGATATCTTACCAACGATAATTTCTAAGAGATTTAATACCTAAATGGTACGAAGCTATAAGGAAATAAACTAACTTTTCTAGCATATAATCGACAACACGACAAAAATCAGAAACTGAATACTCTCTTTTCATGTCATTTAAAACTGCGTCACTTCCTGACTGGACAGGAATATGTAGGAAAGAATACACCCGGGGATGGTTTAAGATCTTTGCAATCTCCTACAAAAGCAGGGAAGAACGACTGTAATTCTAGCATCATTATAATAAAGTGTTCAAAAAAGATTTTTTCTTTATAAATCAATTTAAAGAGATCTTCCCAAATTTTGCAAGTGTTCAGTAACAAAAACCGGCATTTCAAATTACAAAAATATAATTCCCACATTCTCAATAAACTATAGCAAAGCAGGAACCTCTAAAAAATCTAAAATATATGGCGGGTTGGTCATCCCTAAACGCATCATGCATCCATCAGGTATGACCTTGACCAACTCTTGCAGTAGATCAGGTAAAACCTAAAAACTATAATAAAAATAATGTACACTGTTACCTCCAGTTTTCCTCAAAAAAAAAATGATAAAACTATAATAAGAATAATGCGCATCAATAAAGCAAGTCTCAAATTCAAACAACAACCATTCCAATATCTCTCCCCCAGGCGCCCAAGTCTTCTGATGTAAGCCATAACTCACGACAACCATCAGCAAATGCTGACTGAGCCTGTTCCAAGAGATCCTCCAAGCTATAACTCAGAAATTTCCCTCGAGCCATCTTTGTTTTACAATAGGTGCAGTGGTTTAAACAACCGCTACTTATTGGTAGAACCTGAAAAACAATTCACAACACGGAAATGAACATTACTGGAACAAACCGAAAAAAAAGAGCAGAAGACACGATGATGAAAAGCAAGACCTCTACGTATTTATTCCTCCTCATTTTAGGAAGATGAAGGTTTTGGTGAGGTCTATTCAAATTCAAAAATCGTACACAGTTCCCCACGAACGTTTCATTAACAACTTCAACAATTCTGTCTATTTGCCTTACACCAACAACTGAGATATCTTTCAAAAATTTTGCGTTAGGATCCGCCTAAAAGTAAAGAGTGAGACTTTAGCCATAACAAAAAAGAAGTTTAACAAAGAGAATTAAAAAAATAACGCTTTTAAAAAACCAGAAAATAATGCTAAAAGGTGGTCATCAAGGTTACATTCAAATGGCAAAAAGAAAAGTACTTGAGAAACACATCCTGCAACAACAATAAGTTTATTAAGCTGTTTCGCTTCTTTGATATTATTTTCTAATTGAGCTTCAGAAGGCGTTTTAACCGTGCAGCTGTTAAGCACCCATAATGAAGCGTCCTCCTGAAAACGTAGTTTAACTTTACACTTTAAGAAAGGACGTGCAAACCTTGTCAAAAAAAAGAAAATACTTCAAAGTTTTTTGTTTCAAAAAAGTAAACCACGATCTTCTGCACGTAACTATACTCAGAAAAAATAATTGAAGGGTAAAAAATTAAGAAAAACTTTCATCAATGCTGTTTTACAATCCTACAAATTTCTCCTGCTCAGATACTTAAAAGTTACTTTAGAATTAGTTATAGTATATCCAGCATCTTTCAACAGTCCAGCCATGTATTCAGAATCACTTGAATTGTGAGAACACCCCCAAGTCCGCACATAAATACTCTTTGTGCCTAAAGATTATAGGTAAATACGAACTTTAAAAACAACAATTAGACTTTTATATGAAATCTTTACAAATATTTCCAAATTCTTTACCAGATTTAGATGTATAAACTCTCAAAAAGTATTCCTTAAGAAAAACTAGTGAAAACTCCAATAACTAAGTGACTATACCTGGAACAAAGCTATCGCCAGTAAAAGTAGATTCTTTCAACTGCCGGTGCCGTTTTCTTACCTTTATGGACATGTCATTGCTTTCAATGCGCCTATTGTGCACTTCGTAAGAATCTTCTATATCTAACATCAACTTTGTCTGTGTACTGGTTTCATGTACCAGTTATTTTCCAGGCAAAACTCTGTGTAATATTACCGAGTAAGAGCAAACTTCAACAGCCACAGTGCGTTCACAGTAACATATGGTGCAGAGAAACGAGTCACAAAGGGAAGCACACATACGATTATTATCGCTCTTTCTACATGAAACAGAACATATTAAATACCTTATAAAAAAATTTTCAACAAAAAAGGAACAGTTTCTAGTGCCCACAGAACGTTCAAATCATAGAATGGCAAAAAATCTTTGATAAATTCTAAATATTTATGTGCAAATTCTCAATTGTTCCTTCATTCTACCGTACTTTTTCGGTCAATCCTGACTTACATGAAAACACGGCCCACGATTTAGTCACCCCAACGTGAATGGATCACTTAAAGCCATTCCTATTTCAGAAATTAAAAGCACGGGCAGGCTTAGGTATCTGGCCTAAAGATATCTCTGAAATCATTGCATTATTAGTAACAACCACAAGATCACGTCCATTAAAATTAGTTAAGACCTCCAGTCAAGTGACAAGAAACGGACAAGTCTGGAAACATTCAAGACACACCGCTATAAAAGCAAACAAAGTAACAGACCTCAGTGCAAGATTAGATGTAATCCTCAAACTCTTTTTGCTGCTAGCGAACAGCTTCACAATTGACAACAATTGGCAAAACTCCAAAAGCTGTAAGAAAAAACTACAGCTACCCACAAGTGCTCCATAGGAAAAAACCGTTGAACGGAACTCAATTTACGTTTGAGAACTTTAAGTGTAATAGATGCGTTAGACTTTATCAACCTACGTTATTCGATATTTAAAATCTTATTTGCTTCGTAAGTCACTCTTTGGGCTACGTCCGGCTAATTCGTTTCAAAAAAACAGGATATTTGGGCAGCGTCCTTGTCTTCTGTATCGTTTATGTTAGAGTTTAAAACTGCCTTCGAACTTTCTGCAAAATACACCTCAACCTTACCTTTTCAGCAACTCAGCAGTCAAAGATTCGACAACAACTCCATCTATTCAAACAAACACGCGCTATCTTTCTACACATATCACCAATTTCGCAGTACAGACAATGCTGCTTTTTTAGACGCGTCAATAAGTAGTAATTCTTATCCAGCTCCAAATGCTTTGCACGGGCAGGAACAGCAACATCATACGACCTTTATTTAAACGTCAGACCTTAAACCGTAATGTATACAAACTCAAATCTGTATTCGTAACTTTCACATCTTGTCAAACGCTCACCGCTTAAGCTAACTGAAGCCCATTTATACAGACGCAAATAAGGTTGTCGGCAGTTCCCTTGCTCCCTTCTGTTTTTTCTCCTCGGTATGATTATAGCGACCTCTCAAAAAATCGTAGATTCTAAACTATAACATCTCTACAGGGATTTTAAATGAAGCATGACGATAATAGCTTATTTTAAAAACAGGAAACACAGGTGACAAAGGATGTACAAATCAGACATTGTGATTTGTAAATTCATGAACGACGCTATAGCGGAATCCATACACTCAAAAACTGAAACTCTGTTCATAAACCAACATTTATCTTTGTTAACCAATTACGAAAACCTTCAAATTCAAGGTGTTTCCTACAGCTCAAAAAAACTTTCTGTTTAGCCACTCACCGTCGACCCTATTTGACACACTGATTATAGGTTTCGCGGATGTAATTGCCTAATCTACAAAAATATGGTTAACTTCACAGCTACTATACTTGTGCAGACTGCACCTTGCAGCTTCTTACGGTCTTATTTTCGTGATTTCTCCTTAAACTTATAAGTTCCATCCAATACCTTACAAGCAAACCAGATCTACTCAACATCTCACTCTACATTCAAAATCACCAACAAACCACCCATTCTTATCTTTAAAAAGATTTGAGTCTTTTCAACCACACTACAACCCCTATAAAATCACATCCACAGAGGACATCTCAAAGATGCCTACAAAAAACGTTTTGAGAAGAGTACAGTGCAAACTATTCAATTAAGGATATAATCTAAAGCATCTAAAAACCTACTCTATCATTCAGAAAGCAGTTCATAGCATGGTGCGATTCTGTTTAAGTACGCCCGGTCGACTGGAGATTTAATAAGCATTTGTCCATCTACAGAAGGACAGCTCGGAGAAGCACAAAACCTGCTAAAAGAAATCGAAGAAAAGCTTAAAAGCAAAATTTCTGAAACGACGACAGCCCAAAGAAAAAAATTTTGTGTAAGGTACAAAAGAAAGAGTATGCGTGTCGATGGGAATAAAGTAGAGAACAATAAAAACTTTTTATTATTTAACATTCAGTGAGACACCTCAGTTTCACGTCAGATCCAAAGTTGCGAAAGAATTTTAGACGCCACACCGAGAAAAAATTCCAAAGCCAAACCCATAAATAATCAACAATGTTCTTGACTTTAAATGCAAAAAAATTCATAGCCAAGAACAAGAGGACCCAAAAGTCATCTTTTACAAAAAACAACAAGTGAGCGGTCACATGCATTAAGCGTTAACAAAAAAAAAAATACCAATCTTAAGGAAGATGTGAAGTAGATATGCAACTTAGCAAAAGATCAAACTCAAGATAAGTATGGTTCACAGTTATTAAAATATTTTCGAACCAAAAGAATGCAAAGTAAAAGCACAACTAAAATAGAAAATTATAGATATCAGAATGCTTCAGATAGTTTGAAACAGATCCCGTCATTACAAACAATGAATAAACCTAAAGTAAAAAGCACTTGTTCTTCTTCTTCTTTTTCTGTTGTAGGGCTGCCTGAGTTGCTTTTTCAAATACTTCACGTATACCCTAAAAAAATTCATCATCTTAACAAAAATCTATTTTTCTGAGACTCAATAGAACTGAGAAAATGCCTGACTGTCCAAGAAAAACAAAAAATTTTTCCACCTGCAAGACGTAAAGATTGAAAACTGTAACCAAAACAACTTACAAAGCGTAGAATAAACAACTTACTTCCTTCGTTTTCGCCGAGCATTCAAGATAAGCAAATGCACCTATCTGTTCCGCTACAGCACGACCTTGTTCAGGTCTCACAGGCTCCTGTTTCATCTTGCCAAGATCACGAACAACACTCGGATCATTCCTTAGATCTTTTTTATTGCCTACTAGAATTATTGGCACGTTTGGACAAAAATGTCGCACCTAAAACTTTGATGATTTTGTTGCAGCTAACAAGCGCAATCTTACACGAAACCCACAAACTTTTTTGTTATTTCCAGCTCAAAGAAGTACATATGTACTAGTGCCAAAAATGCGTAGACATCATTCAAACCTCTGGTGTCCATTTTTCTGGAATGTTCTCAAGAGAGTCAGGAGAGTCAATGGCGAAACACATTAGAATAACATCAGTATCAGGATAACTTAAGGGCCGTAACCGGTCATAATCTTCTTGCCCAGCCGTATCCCATAACGCCAGTTCCACCTAAAAGATGCAATAGTCTAGAGAATAAAAAACATCGCATACAAAACGTGTAAGAGGGACCTTGACAAGAAAAGGAATAGAAATCGTTCCAAAAAAGTTGACTTTTTCTAAATTTTCCTAAATTATAAAATAGTAGAACAGGGCCTTATGTTTGCGTAACAATTTAATAGGACTCTGAGATATTATAACAATACTATTTTTAAGCAATTTTTTTTTTTTGATAAAACTCAATAAGGTGGATGCGATAGCACTCTGAAAGAGTTTTCAATATCTAAAAAACCAATATTTCAAGGAGGAGCCAGGAAAATAATTTAGACAAGAAGATGAATGTTCTCAAACCTTGATAATACCAATGCTCTTCAAAAGTCAAAAGAGTAAAGCTCATTAATAAGATTTTCTGCACTAATTTCTTGCGAGACAACCGTAACTGAAGGATATTGCACAAAATCTCTTTGAGGTCAAAATCATAGTCTGAAGATAGTTTAAAAGATTCAATCTTTCAAAAACCAATCTGAGTGTAGCAGCTTATGAGTGGAAAATATTACGAGATTACACAGCTGAAAACAAGTTGTAGCTTTAAGCTTGCCGTCCAGAAAAGTTGCGTCGAAGATAAAGCTTTCGTAACAAACTAATGAATCTCATCAATTTAAGTCTGGCAAGTACAACGAGTTTATTACGACAGCACTCTGGTCTCTAAACCAATACCTCTACCAGGTTTACTTCCAGTTCAGGAAAGTATCGCGAAGTTTCTGTACAAAAAAATTTGTAACAGTGTTAAAACATACCCTAACCATGAAAAGCCCGATGAATCACAGCAGGAGACCTTACTGAATTATAGCAAAGTACTACTCACCCAAGCATGCCCGAACTATTCTAAAAACAATTCCCTTGAGAGGCTTTGGCTCATTTGTTCTGTCCCCTTTTAGTAATTCCTTTTGTATTTGTTTCAGGCTGAGACAGTTTGTAAATAAAAAAAGTGACCAAAACCAAATTGGTTTTATCCAGGACACCCAGCTGTCTTCAAATAATATCTAAGAATAAGCTTAATATTTATAAAATCATTTCTGATAACTTGAGTAAACTTTTAAAAAAAAATAACGGCGTTTCCTGTCCTTTCGCTATATAAATCTTTAAACAACCTTTTGTAATTACCAAACAACACCACAGCCATCATATTAAAAAATGAGCTAAGATCATAGGAAAAATAAGCATTTTTTAAAACCTCACTTGTTTCCCATCAACCTCAATATCGGCAACATAGTTTTCAAACACTGTTGGGACGTAAACATCAGGAAACTGATCCTTGCTAAAAACGATCAGTAGACATGTTTTGCCTAAAATAATAACAAAAAAACTCAAAAAATAAACAGTTAAAAAGTCAAGTTAAAAAAACAAACTCAAACCAATTGTTAAAAATATGTCCAACAAAAAAAAAATGATTTTTCCTTACCACACGCACCGTCTCCAACGATAACCAATTTTTTTCGTATAGCTGCCATTAAAAAGCACCTGAAATATGCACTTAGTTTATAAGTGAAATTGACGCAAGCGGAACACAAGCAAAACTTCAAGAAGCGGAACAAGGTACACAGACTGAAAAGCACCAAAAAAAAAAACAAACTACCATAAACATTTCTAAAATAATCTACTAAGTATGTCGTGAAATTCATTTTCTGCTAAGGCCTTCGAAAAGCAGAACTAGCCATACAAAAAGTTAGAAAATACGAGCTTTTGGTACATTTTAACAGGTGATGTCGTACGGTGACTTCGCTTATTATTCAAAACTTACACTAGCAGAATCTCAATGGCAAAGTAAAGAATGATAAGCTTAACAATAAACAAAAAGATGGTATTTCAAAAATCCAAATTTTTAGCTAATGAAACAAAACAGAATGCCTTTATTCGCTAGTCATAAGCCAAAAAAATAAATAAATGCTTTCAAAAGTGTAGGAAAATGCCACTATTAGAATATTATCTATTAATGGTAAGAAAAAACAGTAATAGCCAGTTATGATGATTAATACCGATAAATAAAGGCAAAATGTGAGGAAAAAAATGTCTTAAAAACAAGTCTAGATTCAATTTTCTCTCCCGTCTTTCATTCCTCCCACCACTACAACATATAGAAGATGGTGACTGTTAAACGGCTGCCCTATAAGATTAAATTTACAAAGCGAAATAAAATAGAAAACAAATAGAAGAATGACGTGATTCATCGGATTTAACCTACTCACATCTGTTTTGAAGTTAATTTCATCAACTAAATAAACAAAGAAAACGAGCAACTAAACTGAATGTATACAGAACAAAGAGGAATATTAAGCGGTATATGAGCACCAATAAGACCGAATAATAACCATCCCTCCCCCTTAAATAATTGTTCAAAATTACTGAAACAACAAAATAATGATAAAACGGAAATGTAGAAGAGTAATTGCACCAACAGTTGTTATCGCCTTTTCAACATCAACAATAGCGTCATCATCATCATCATCATCATC